CGGCGAGCGCATTGCTCATGTTTCAAGTCTCCTACTTCCAAATATCCTAATGTCTCTACACTGTGAGAGAAACATACTGTTACATATTTTTTATTTAGTTGACTATTTTTAGTATAATTGTAATTAATATTGTTTTATATCCCTGTGCAATGCAGCACGAGATTTATTTTAAGAGTCTCGCCGGAGAAATAAAAATACAGGAGCACGCGCATTTAACATGTAATAAATAGTAGATATCTCTTTATTTATTTTTAAATTGAATAAATGCAATTGTGTGCTAGCTGTAACTGTAATTCAACTTTTTTTCCTTTCCAGAAACCTCGAGGAAATAAAAATTACCAGAATGTTCTCATGCATGATTAAAAAGCTTTAAAAGCCCGGAGAAAAACATCTCAGTTCAGTTCTTAAGTTTTTGTTTTTGATTGTACCGAATTAGAAGTGATATCGGATTAGCGGATTAACCTTCTCTGCATTTTGGATTGCATTCTACAATATGTAACGTTTTGGTAGTTTAAAATATAACTTCTGTGTGATTTGTGATATTGTATGAATATCTGTGAAAAAACATTTCAGCATTTTGTTTTATTTTTTGTGATAAGAATAAATGTTATTAACTTTTTATCGGGCTAGTGCATTGTCTATTACAAACCCATATGCAAGCAACAATATTTGTTTTAATGAGTTAAAAAATAGCAAATTAAATCACACATGTTAAGTAGATTAAAATAGCAATTAGTGGTACAGAAGAAGTTACTTTATAACACGGAGCATGGCTAGTATTTTCCCTGTTAGGGAAATAAAAATTTTAGGCTACCTTTTTATAAAGAATTTCATAACATAACTGCCATACAGTAACGTGATGGTCAAGAGCATAATTTTGAATCTTGCTGCTAGAAAACTGAGATATATAGAATAATTTGATGATGAAACAATCTTTGACATTTAGTATAAAGTAATTGTTAAAGAAGAAGGGTGAATTTACTGAGAAAAATACAGTAGTTCTTTATAAAATAACCTAAACGGCGATCTGCATCCCGCTTGATTGACCATTGTTAGAGGCTTGGACTTTCACAGCTGGTAACAGATTCATCTTATAATTGCACCATATTATTTTTTCCATTCTTGAAGTTATATAAACAACGTCGTTTTTGTACCACTTCTACTCAAAGTACACTATGTGTTACGACAGCATGTTCGGATAGCAACTGAAATTTTATTTGATTTGAAATTAGGCAAAGCAACAAACACAGTTTGGAGTAGATTTCGAATAGAATTCTATCGGTCTCAGGTCCCTCTTTTTGTCAGGAGAAAAAAAAATGCGTCTCCTGAAGAAGACAGGCCTGTTTCTGATCGTCCTCTAAATCAATAGGGTTTTATTGAAAACCTACGCCAGACTAATGCTGCTGTTTTACCGAATTTTAAATTTTACATTGGTATTTTATCGTTTTCTCTTATCTTTATTACATTAGTATTTTTATCTTGCAGTTTGTCTAGATCTGTATTTTAGAGAGGGAAAACCCTCCAGTTTAGAGAATGCGATTAACCTCATTTAGAAAAACAACTCATGGTCACAGATGATTTTTAAATTCTGCGGAATTAGTTTTATTAGATTATAATATTGATTCATTATTGTCAATTAATCATCCAACAATTATAATGTGCTTTCAAAAATATTAGTAACTAGTGAGTAAAAATAGAAGTTTAAAAGTAAGTTATCACAATTTTTATTCCTGCATACTGAAAATCAAATCCATGAAAACGATTCTTCACACGTTTTGGATACACTGTGTTGTAAATTTCCTAAGAAATGAAGAATCACCTAATAAGTCTTTATTCCTTTTCCATAACAATGAAAGTTATAATAATTATCATTTAACTTTCTTTTAACAGTCCTTGGTGTTATCGTAAATAAAACTCGCGGAAAGCGCGTGTGTAATACATTGTATTATAACCATATATGGAGGAAATGGAAACACACAAACCTTGCCCCGATACTGCAGAAACGAGGACTATAGTAAGAAGACCAAATAAGGTTAATCAAAAACAAACTCGTTCTTAATCTGACACTGCATTAACAAGGACTAGATAGTACTGACCATATTTGGAATGCACATGTTCACTTCGAACAGCAATAAGGAGAACTTGCTTTTTCTGGCATGGAAGCGTGGCCGCAATTTTTGCACAAAGATGCACAGCCCATACACAGTTTTACACAGAAATAAACTACTTTTATTCATACCGAGGACATAGTCGGATTTGGCTCATAATTGGTTTCTACATGGATCCAAGGTCCCTGATTGCGATTCTGGCATTATTTCCAACCGAGGATGTTCTCGATTCTTCAAAAGTCCTCAGTCAGAAGGTGTGTATACATATTTCCATCCTCGATTTACACCCTAGCGAACACACAAAGAAAAAAAAACTAAAAACTAATCCGATAGGAAATGTCTATTTATATTGACAGATGTGTTCCTTTGAGCTCCAATTCATGATATTCCAACCGAGGATGTTCTCGATTCTTCAAAAGTCCTCGGTCAGAAGGTGTGTATACATATTTCCGTCCTCGATTTACACCCTAGCGAACACACAATGAAAAAAAAACTAAAAACTAATCCGATAGGAAATGTCTATTTATATTGACAGATGTGTTCCTTTGAGCTCCAATTCATGATATTATTAGATCATATCTCATCATGAGTTGATTGGCTAATTTCAAAACAAGACGATCTCTGCTTGGCCCTCTAAGTATTTCATTACTCATCAGCTGCACTGAAATGAATGAAATCTATTTGACATCATCTGAACCCTAAGCAAGCAAAGCTCCCCCCATCCTGGTTATTTGGCTAACTTTTGTGAGAATACAAATAATTGAATAAATTTTGATGCATTATTTTTGATTAAACTATCTTTTCATATAGTTTTATAAATGTACTCAAAAACAAACTGGTGTTATAAGCCATCAAACTTTACAGATACACTTACTCCAAAAGGTTTTCACAGTTTGGGCCACTACTGTAGGTTGAGTTTTTAAGAAGAAATATCAAAATATTTTGATAAAAGGAATTTATGACAGTTTATCTTTCTCATTAACTATTACTCTTTTTGTTTATTAAAATTAAACATTGGAGCTTAGAATTACGATAGATTGGAAAAATGTGTGTAATTAATATAGTTATGTATTATAATGTCCAAATGTACAAGATAATGACTTATTTTTGATGATTCATTTGTGATGGGCAATTTCATTTTTGAAGAGAGAAGTAAAACAATTTCTAAAATGAAGACACTCTTATCCCTAAATAGCACTCTTACCCCTAAAAGGTGGATAAGAGTGCTATGGATTGATAAAACCACATCAGTTATGGAGATAATAAAATACAGGGTGGTGCACAAAGTGTCAAAGCATTTAACCACACCCATAAAAATTTTCATGCTATAATTGAAAGTGCATTCGAGTCCATGGAAAATCGGGTGATGTCCAGAAAAGAATCTAATTTGCTGTGAAACGTTAGCAAATGCAGTTAGCAAGATGGCAAAAAAAGGCCAGTTAAATTTTGAATAGAAGGTGAAAGCTGCAATGTTTTTTGAAAGAACAGTGTTTGGTGATGGATGTTTTCATGCACACTTTGACACAGGATCAGCTATTTGCATACAGATTATGCACAGTTGTATCAGTAACTGGAAGCCATAGTCTCAGTATTGGAGAAGAACTAATAACCCCCATCAAATGTCTGCACAATTGAAAATGGCAACAGGTCTCTCTTTATATATCCACAGAGGTTCATGCAAAGCTGATCCCACCCATCTATGGACATGTTCCTCTTTTTCTTTCCAAGAACTGCAATTTTTATAAATTTTCTACCATTTTTCAGGTTCCTGACTTTTCAGGTGACTGATACAGCAAAAAGAATTCGCATTAAAAAGCTAACGTTACATAAAATCAATTGGAAAAAAAGGCTTTTAGCTAGGCACATCATTAGTGCAGCACTTCTAAATCTATAAGGAACAACGCATTTGATTCAGTCATCTTTTGAGTACAAATAATACACACTGGTAGACAGTACTAAAATATATTTTTGCACATGCAAATTTATCAAACTTTGATACATTGCTTAAAGTAAATTTTCAAACAGTAAATAAATATATCTACCTCAAGATTAGAACCTAGAACATGCATAAAGAGACACTTCAATGGAAATAGATCCATTATTATAAAAAATCAGAAATCTAATAAAGCTCCTACACTGAATAATTAATAAGAATTAATAAGACTAAATTCCTATAAATGCTACTTCTAAACTTAATGCTCAAAGATGAACAGGAAAGCATCAGACTGTCTCCTGAAATGTATGAAGTCCTGTTTAAATTTATACCAGTGTAGGGATTTAATATTCCACTGTAGATACTAAATTTTACAATAAGGCATATTTTCCTGAATGAGATTTAAAAAATTTTAAGGCTTAAATTACAATCAAAGTAACAGTTCTCCAATCTTTCCATGTCATTCTACCTTTTTCTTTTTACAATTATTCTTGTAATTAATTATTTTGCAGAATCTAATAAAGCTCCTACACTGAATAATTAATAAGACTAAATTTCTATAAATGCTACTTCTAAACTTGTATGAAGTCCTGTTTAAATTTATACCACTGTAGGGATTTAATATTCCACTTCAGAATTGATCTGCTTTTTCTACAGCTATTATATACTGAAAACTGGAGGAAAAATAAAAATAATAATGCAAAATCTATACATTTCTTTTCATAATAAATAAAATAAAAAGGAAAAGTTGGAACTAAATATATGCCTCTATTTCTTGCATGTCTCTAACATTTAATCATTTTATTGACTATTTTAATTAATCTTAATGATTCTGAAATTAAAAAAATGCTAGAAATAAGTCAATTGGTCTAAAGAATACCTAAAAATAGGATATAATGACATGCATTATGATATAATTTAGAAATGTTTACATACAGTTCTCAAATGCACATACATACCTTTTTCTCATCTTCATCGTCATCGTCATCGTCGTCATCGTCGTCATCATCATCGTCGTCGTCATCATCATCATCATCATCACTTCCTGAATCACTACCAGAATCATCTGATCCTGAACTCGATCCAGATCCAGAACCAGATCCTGAACCTGAATCATCTCCATCAGACTTTTCAGAATCGTCGTCATCATCAGAAGATTCTTCATCTGAACTCTCTGTATCTGTTTCTTTTTTAAAATTCTTCTGTATTTAAAAAACAAGTTTTTTAAACATTTGAAATGAAATATTGTAAATAAAAATTAACAAATCATTTTAGTTTGCTGGATAATACACACTAGAACATAAAATTTTTCTATAAATATGTGAATAACTTTAAAAGACTTCCTATCAAAGCCGTCAACAAAAGAAAAAAAAATCTGATGTGTACACCACATGACTTCCTTGTACGGAATATTAAATTATGCGCATTTTTTCTTGCATTTTATTTAAACTTATGAGATTGAATTAAACCTACTTCGCTGACAGCGCATAAACCACAATAGAATAAATGCATTCTTTAAAATTCACTCTGTTTACCATAGCGACACACTCTGGCGCTAGGTTTACTTCACAGTATTATATTTCGTTCATATTATAACTCTGAATGCACAAAATTTATATCATTTCAAGAATTATCTAATCGTTGCCACACGTTCTATTCAAACACTATAATAAAGCTAGAATGATGAATAAAAAAAATTAACTAAACAAAACAAAAAAGAAACAGTTTTTCACAGACGATTGAGTATTTCTCATTCAATTAATTCAGTTTTCACTTCGCGACAAGGCAAAAATACATAAAAACTCAAAATATCTGTATTAAAAATTACGAAGTAAATCTTAAACGATTATTTCCTCGAAAAAATTCAAGAAAGGATTAAGCATGATTTAATTGGCAATGATAAATTAATGCGTTATCTTTGTTGTTGCGAAGCTAAGTTTCTTTAGATTGGCAACAAATCCACTAGTCTCCTGTTTCAAATGTAAACATCAATGGCCGCCATCAAATTAGGCTTAGCGGCACTTAAACAATTTTAAAATTGTTGATAATTCTAAAAATATTACATACAGATTCACTAAAGGCATAAAACCCTTAACCGGGAGATAAAACAACATAATTCAGTCAGTTTTAAAGCAAAAAATGTACAATTTAGAAACATATAAGAGTAAAGAAACTGAGATCACTGAGCCGGGTAACAGAGTGGATATATTTATAAATATATTTATATACGTTTGGCACGGCCGATTGAAACCAAAATATGAGGTGCACATCTACATGTTATGGTAGTCTTATATACAAATTTTCAATGTTCTGAGGCTACTTGTTTTTGAGTTATGCGAGATACGTACGTACGCACGCATGTACGTACGTACGTACGTTCGTATGCACGTACGTAGATACGTTCGTACAGACGCCACGAAAAATTCTCTTCAGAATTCATTTTAAAGCAGTTTTTTAGTTATTTTGGAGGAAAAGAGTCTTTTATTCTGTCTTTACGTACAGATATCACGCAAAAACATTGTTAAATTACATTCGAAAGCGGTCAAAGTGGATATTTTCGTTGAAATATTCTGCCTGAAGCTTTTCGCGATTATAATACTTCCTTTTTACTTTGTACAAGGAAGTAAAAAATCAGTCAAGATTATAACAACAAACTTAAATACAGCAGAAGGCAAAATAATCTGCTAGTGTTTGAAATCCATGTAGCTCCTTGGATGACAACAATGAAACATAAATGGCTGTGGCAAGATACAGACATTGTTGGTGACATGTTCTCTCATTCAGTATTAAAGGAAGCTATGATATTCTATTGATAATTGCTTTTATAATTGCTAACAAATAAATATTTTGTTCAAAGTTGCTTAACATATAGCCACAATTAAAGTGTGCTGTTTTAAATGAGCAAGAACACAGAAAATGGAATTTAAGTAATCCTTATTAAAAAGGCAGAGTAAATGAGTTGTGTAAAATATTTAAAGCAAAGTACTGCCAATAGATGTTTGATTGAAAAGGTTAAAACATAATTTTTGTATGCTTTTATCCTTATTTTCCATTTATATAAAATTAAAATAAATTGTATATATATTTTTCTGTAAAAGATCAAAAAGAAATTACCATACATTCTGGTGTATAACGCACTTTTGATACAAATAATGTTGCGTTTTTCTTTTCTGACACCAGTTGTTACGTTATTTTCTTCCTTCACGTTCGTATGGGGTTCGTGTGGATTTGGAATAAATAACAACCACACTTGATGATATAGCGAAACATACTTTATTTAGCCAATATTAATCAGGACAGCTCCAAAGTCACTTTTTTACAGTTCTTGCAGATCTACTATAAACATGCTGAAACTCAGCGACACAGCCTTCACACTATCAGGCAATAACAGTGGAGACAGCTTCACTGCAAAGCATCAGAGTACAGCTCCCGAATCTGCTCAGTCGTTCTCAGAACTCCACGTACTCTCGAGACTCTCCAAGCTACAACTCGCGATGCACTCGACAACACACAGAGCACAGGATCCCGACTCTTCGGTTCAGTCATTCCTGGAGCTTAACACACTCTCTCGACGATGCACTAACCACCATACACTAAGAGAGACTCTTCGATGCAGTTGACGACCCACTCGGCACTCGCTGGCTGGATGTCAACTCGATCGTCTGTGCATGGACTAACTAGATGAGACACACTATCTCGCACTCGACGAAGTACAATGACTGCGGAACAGCAGGGTTTATATAGCTTTCGTCTTGTCTTTGAGAACATTCTGGGCTAAACCGGTAAGAATTCGTTCTCCTTCTATCCATGGCATATCGCCAATTTGTCGCCTAATGGGCGATTTTTTGCTAAATCTGGCAACCCTGCTTTCCCTTGCCATTTCATGGCAACCCTAAATCTGCGTTACAGGGAAGCCATCTTACCACGAATGTATATTTTGTTACAATAAGATCGAAATTTATTGTTGCATGTTATACGTCGGATATAAAAATGATGAATTTAAAAATAAGGAAAATATGAGCATATGAAAATTAGATTTCTATATATATTTAAATACTGTTTATTTAAAAGAAATGACATACCTTATGAAATTAAAAATTTTCATTACTTGATAACATGAAAAGTTCGTCATATTAGTCTTGCATTATATCTCCAAGCACATCGTTGAATTATATTTTATCTTCACCATCACTGTTACTCAAATCCATAAATAAATAACCATCTTCCATTCCATCTAGATTGTTAGATATACTACACTACATTTTTCAAGTGACTTTTGAATTATGACAGATTTAGTTTCATTCCATGCTTTTATTATCCCCACGCACACTATTTCTAGATTGGCATGACGCACTTGGCCTCCTTTTGTGAATTCTTTTTCACCCTTTAACATTCATGTATTCCACTGTCGTTTTCAATTTTCTTTGAATGGTTTATCGACACAGACATCTAAAGGCTGAACTAATGGCATTAATACATCTGGAACAACTGCCATGACTTTAAAAAATTTCTTCATATTATTCACTAGATGGAATCTGAATATGCCCCAAACTAAAAAATTTTCTGGATTTCTTTTGGCAATAGGATGCTTTTGCCAAACAGTTCTTCTCATCCCCAGTTTCATACCATTTTAGTCACTTTATCCTTTCTCGTGAACATGAATGAAAATACCATTTGGAAAATAGCATTTCAGTATGATCTTTCTTTTAAAAATAACCCTGGGTTTTTAATTTTGTAAAATCTGCCAAGCACAAAAAAAAAAAAAAAAAAAAAAAAAAAAAAAAAAAGCACTATACTGTAGTGAGATTTTTGTGACCTGGTGTTTTTATGTGAATGATTTTTGTTCCTTTCACATAAATTGTTTCATTTACTATCATGTCAGAAATTACAGGAGTTTCATCCATATTTCCAATATGTGACAATAAATAATTTTGTTGCTTTAGTAGGTCACCAACCTACCTCTGGAAACTTATCAAATGGTTGTCCAAATCTTTTGGATGTCTTTACAAAACTTTTGTTTTTTCTTGTAAAAAATAAATTATTCCATGCCATAATCCAACACCAATTCTAAGTTACTCTAAAGTTTTCACTTTCATTTGCATTCTTTTTTAGCCAATTTAAGGCAAATAAACTTATGCTACTTCTTGTTACAATTAATCCATTCTGAAGATTTTCTAGGACCCAGTTCGCAACACTTTCTTTTAGGATAGGCCATTTCATTATTCCTTTATGCAAACCTATTTATTCTAGTATATTGTTTATTATGATTTCATTTTTCTTGCACACACATGAGCAGCTTTCATACACACCAAACATTCTTGCTGCAGCACGATTTCCATTTTCTTTCACAAATTAAACTTTGCATTTGAAACCAGTACCGTGTATGTTTTGGTTGGCAAAGGCCACATTTGCCACCAAACGAAACAGTAGATTAACTGCATTTCAACTAAAGCAAGTGCGATTTACTAAAGCCTTTGATGTTCGCTTCAAAATCACAGCTTCAGATGACTACAGAAAAAGAAAACATTTGATTCTTAATTTGCGAATTCATTCGAGTCAGAAGAACATTTGTACCCCCAAATTATGTCCCCCTTTTTGAAATACTATAATAGCATTCTTGTGCACATCTGCATTGAATAGAACCTAACCTCTTTGCAAATTATTTACTCCCTTAAGCATCCCTTCCACACACATATTGTTCCCCTTATCACTTGTCAATTCAGTGTACCACTGTTTGAAAGCCTAGGAAAAGTCCTCAAACCAATAACTTCAAAAACAGCATCACAATTGTATCTTTCAGGTTCTTTCATAAAGAACAGGTGTGTGTCATACAGCGAATATACCTAAAAATTAAAAAAAAATGTGAAATTATATATGCACATTTTACACCCGTACGCATTATACACCAGAATATATGGTTTTCGCTTCTACAGTCAAAAGCCGTTAATCCGGACTCGTCGGGATTTCGGCGATTCCGGGTTATCGATTTTTCCAGATTATAGATCATCATTTTAAATCTGGTAAGATGGCATGCAGAAATTACAAAATTAAAAATATGAAGCCGTAATTTATGAAATAAAGAACAATTACGATCTAAAGAGTATCAAAATTTACAAAAAAAAAAAAGCTTAATATTTATTTGTTTACTTTATTAAACATTTCTTTCAATGTAAGTTGTTTAAGTTGCTTCATTTTATGTGATAATACTTTCTCTTTAATTCTATAAACAGACATAATTTCTTGTTCAGTTACAAAGTTCTGCTGTGCAAGTCCCGTAATTGCTGTGCCGAGAATACCGACTAACTTGTCAATCAAAATTTTTTCGTTTTCACTAACCTCTCTGTCACCTTCTTCATGTCTTTATCCATTTTTTGCAGCAATTCCACTTTTTGTTTGATGGACATCGAAACATACTTTCGTTTTGTAGATCCTTTGGGAGCTCCAGCATCGGAAATTCTATTTGACATAATCGAAAGTTTAAGTTTACTTTTATAAAATTGCTCTTACCGTCTGCAAAAAATAATAAGCCGGATCCAATTCGAAGATTAAGGAACAATGCAATCATCAACATTAACTGAAACAGATAATTAGATAATTTTAGCTTAAACCATCCGTTATACATAAAATGTGCACGCGAAAACGTATTCTGCGCTTGCGCACACGCATATGCGCAGTCGTAAAGGTCTTACGCGAACGCACGTGTAAACGCCTATGCGCATGTGTCAACGCGGCGCATGCGCAGATAGTTTTTAGCTTGGAGGTCCGGATTATGGGTGTCCGAATTAATGACTTTTGACTGTATATGCTTTTTCTTAATTTATTCATTTTTTCAGTCTAAATCTAATAATTTTTATTTTATAATCTGAAATGCCTGAAACTCTAAAATTTGCACATCCTCAAGTTCCAAGCTGTGCAGAATTTTAATCTTCTAATTGTACTTTTTCTCCCCATTAATAAAAACTTTGAAGAACACTTTTAAGCAGCATAATTATGCTCCTAACTAAAGGTAATAAAAAATTATACTCTAGTGTTGCTGTGAATGAGAGGCATGAATTACATATACTGTAACTGAATAACAGAATTAATAGATTTCTTAGATTATATATATTTTATTTTTCCATATAAAATATCACTGAATACTAATCTTAAGTAAACAAACTTAACTTTTAAAATAAGTATTATGCAGTTGGTTTAAAAGTTCATGTAGATTGGATACGACTGTTTTTGAGTAGTAAAAATGGTACCTCTGAGTGTGTTTATAAAAGTAATGTTAAATCACTTGTTATATTTGTTAATAAAACATAAATATTATATATAACCCAAACTACAGCAATGAAATTTACTTGCCTGAATGCCTTCTCCCTTTTTACTTTTCTTCTTCATTGTGGCTTTCCTGTATTTGTCATATTCCTGAAACTCTGCAACTGTTAATCCCTAAAAATATTTGAATATTGAAAATGAATAAAATATTTTAAACAATTTTTGCTTGATTTTAGTATATTTAAATAAAAGCTATTTACCTGTATGCAAGATATAAAAATGCAACTTGAAAAAAAATATATATATATAATACACAATAGTATTTTTAATACTTCCTTATTGCTGTGGCCCCTGTTTTGTAAACAGTGTCAAGATAGTTCATAAATCATTAATGCAAATAATATTCAAATGGCTAACTGTCCTAACAATGTTCATTTACGGTTTACTCATGAATAAACATGTTGTTATAATTCCTCCCCTTATATTAAGTCTACTTAAAAGTTCTCTCTGATAATGCTATTTCAACATGCATGCTCATGTTGCTTTGAGACATATATGACTATCTCTCTTTATCACTGTATTTATGCACACATGCTTTCCTAAATTAACTGAAACAAATGCATCTCATATCATCATAGAATGAGGTACAATCATGTAAACATGGCTACTGGTAAATTTCACTTACGACACTGCATTTTGTATGAATTCCAACAAGGAAGAAATACTACAGAAGCATATCGAAATTTTTTGATGAAAATGCAGTTTCAGAAAGAGCATGCAGGAGATGGTTGGAAAAATCTGAAATGGGTAATTTTGATCTTAATGATAAGAAAAACTCTGGTCAGCCATCTTTAATGAATGATGATATTGTCAAGACCACGATAGAGCAAGATCTTTTTTTGATAACATCGGAGATATCCAAAAAGCTTAACTCAGCTAAACAAACCATTTCGGACCATATCTGTAAACTAGGATTGGTTTATAAGCATTCCAAATGGGTACCTCATGAATTAAAAGAGAAAAATTTGCATGATTGAGTCAACATGTGCATATCTCTGCGTACTCAGAACAAAAACAAACCCTTCTTGAACCTGATAATAAGTGATGATGAAAAATTGAATACCTACAAAAATACTATTACAAAAACAGCATACTGAGCTTGGACAACTCCACTTGTACACCGAGTTTAAGCCTGAATAAGTGAACGCTGTGCATATGACGGGACATTAAAGGACCAATACGTTACGAGCTTTTGAAACCTAAAGAAAAGCTCAATTCAGAAAGACACTGTATAACCTGAAATTTCTTGGTAATTTAATAATCAAAATTGTGCAGTTTCTTAGAGCTAACACAAGTATATTTAAAGCTTATTTATAATTGAATAGTTTAAAGTGGGACACATTAATAAATTCTGCAGCACTTTCATTTAGTGGAAGTATGTAAAGTTCAATTACAGGAACAACATTATTCAACATCTAATCCTGCATATTTGCTTTAAGAAGTATTATACACACCTTTAAGAACTTTTGCATGTCTTTATTATACTTTCTCATCATTTCTTGAACTCTTTTAGCATATTTGTCTTTTTCTTGATTTGACATAGCTTTCCACAATTTGGCAATTTCAGTCATGCGGTTCTTTGGGTCAACATGGGTCAATTCACTCAATTTTTCTGAAGAAAATAACCCATAGCCACTCCTAGTAAGGAAAGAAAGATAAAAATTTTATTTTAAAACTCACTTAAACAAAAAATAGATTTAAAAAAAAAATCAAATTCAAAAGAGGACAAAAACTAAGCAGCATCAATTACAAAAAAGAAAAATACAGAAAAATTTGTGCATACTGAGGAGGACGTCTAGGCTCTCCTTTGAATAACCGCTTTCTACCACCAGTTTCATGTTTTCTAAGAAAAGAAAGGAAAAAAAAATATCTATGAAAACTGCTAATATAAATTTTAAATTATGGAGAAATTCATCATAAGGAAACCAACGATTACAAATAATAATAAATACAAAGGTTAGCAACTCATACAATACACTCATTTTACAGTTCTTTACTACACAGTTCCATATTTTACAGTTCCATTAAGTTAAACTATGAATATATTATTAACCTTTAGCCATATATACGAAGTTATATATTCTGTGTATATATTCAAATGCCTTTAATCTGCTTAGTAATGATAGGATGAAATATTTGATTACAGATCCATATGCATACTATCATAATTATGCATACACAAAATATATCAATATTTAATGGATTGTCATTGAAGGAATGGATAGCTACTACAATAAATCTTTGACCATCTGAAAAAAATCCAGAAATGCTGAATGCTGGATACGTGAGAATTTCAGGTTTCAGGTAATGTTAGTAGGCCTTAAACATACTAAAGTGAAACATCTTATCCAATTAAGTTCCACTGACCTCGTAAGCTGGTGGAGATTCTGCCACATACATGCATATCCAGCATTGCCATTCCTTATCCATTTTCAAATCTTTCATATTTTCAATCTTCCTTATCCATTTTCAATCTTTTAAAAGAGGGGTAAAAGTGTAAGAAAGTGTAAGGTGCCCCTAAAAACCTTATAAAGCTTAAAGCTAGCTAGCTAGCTTTATAAGGCAGAGCTTTAAACTTAAGCTAGCTTTATAAGGAAAAGATTTGAAAATGGATAAGGAATGGCAAAAGTCACATACTATGCCATTAAATGCATATTAAATTATTAATATCAGAACTGTAAATATTTTTTACTATTTACACTAACTATCCAAATATTTACAAAAATGAATGAATATGCATAATACATATTTCAGGAATGACATGTGCAGAGTGGTCAAAAAGTTATTAGACCATATTAAAATTAAATAATTTATTTACTTTTAATAATATACATTTATTTTTTTATAAAAAGAAAACATGCTTCTTGGAAACAAATTATATTTAGTTTTGAAAATTGCAGCCATTAAATAAACACCAATTTGCTCTTCCACCTATTATAATGTTTCTTGGATTATTTCTGCAATTTCGTTATATATATATTATTTGTTCAACTGTTGAATGGTTTAAATTATGATATACTCTCTCTTTCAAGCACTCCCATAGAAAGAAGTCTGGAGCAGTTAAGTCAGGTGAGCATGGCGGCAACTTGATTATACAATTTTGTAAAATTATCTTTCCAAACATCAATTGTTCATCAAATTTTGGGAAATTCTGGACATTTTAGGAAAAAGGATAAGACATAATTGATTTAAAAAAAAAATTTGAAAAGGAATTTCTGTCTTTTATATTGCTGTACAATTAATGGTTCATCATGCACACAAAAGTTTCCAAAACAAAATTTTTTATGCATTTAAAACTATTTCTACTGTGAAATAAATTAATAAAAAATTTCACGTTTACTAACCCTTTTGACGTAGACCCTTCATCATAGGCTTTCTTAGCTTCTTCAGCAATTTTTTTATATTTGTCCTGTAAAGAATTCGCAAACATCAAATTTCATTACACAGCAGCAGACAAATTGTGTATATACAGTATCTCAGAAGAAATAAATATAAAAGTTAACAGCATGAGACTAGATAAACATTTACATTTTAGAATTATCGAATCATTTAAATAAAACGAACTCCTTTGGGAAAATCATCTTTGAAAATGACTAATATTTCAGAGAATTAATTAACATTAGTTATCTAACACAAACATGTTCCAAGAAGACCATGGGCAAAACTGTTTTTACTTTCAAAAGATTTCTTTTTGTAATTTTTATTAATAAATCCAGATATTATCAAGTAAAATTTGACTGTTCAGACCTTAATTGAATCATAATTTGTAAATAATTAAGTATCTATTGGTAGTTTATAGTTTTATAAGTCCATGTTATCATATTATAGTAAACCATATCTATTTTTTGGTTCAATTTTTTTATCACCATTACTTTTTAACAGTTAGTAAGTATAAATATTTTGCACAGAAATCAGGTTTTTTTCCCTCAATTTTCTTTATGTTGGATTACATCGAGGAATTTATTTTATAAGTTTGAAAATAAATTGATTTAAAATCAGATTAAAATATTTCTTATATTTTTTTAATAGGATTTCATTCGAATACACGAACGAGACAAAACGTGATCAGATTTCCTAATTATTAGCAGTTTTATCGAAAAAGACTAATTCCTCTTGAAAAGCAGCTTTTTTCCAGGGAATCAACACTTAGTTAATTTTACCTTTCTATTTCTTAAATTCAAATGCATTTTTACTAAGTTTTATTTCTAGTTTAAACTTATTTTCCAAGGGAATTAACTTTTAATAAGTTTCATAATTACACTAATCTTTAATGTTTCATTTCCAAAGGGAAAATCAATATTAATAACTAAATATATCCTCTTGACTCCACGGGTCCACATATGTGGACCTTCAATTTTGCGTTGCTGGAAATATTCTAGTACACTTTTATTCAATTGCAACTCAATTACCACGTACAGGGATGTTTCAGCTTTTCATTTTTACCAATGGTTGGCAGCACAGGCGCATACTTTTGAAGAAATCAGAGCTACAAGCAGATTGTTTTGCAAAAATGGCGCTGTCGAAAAGTCTTCGAAAACGTAAGTAATAATTAATTAATTAATAATTTAATTAATGTTTAAAGTGAATATTTAGAGCTATTTAGGTTAGAGCTTTTGTTTAACATTGTTGTTTGTTCGTCAGAGTTATTTTTTGTGGCAATGCATTGAAATGTGTATAGGTCCACATACGTGGACATCAGTTCGTTAGGGAAATTAGGCTCAGTTAAATACTGTCATACGTTTTTTTAATATTACATAATTTCAGTTACTGTTTCTGAAATTTATGTTTCAGAAACAGCTCACTGATGGCACAAGTGATTATATACATCTAGCATGTAATTGTAACATTAAATTATTTGTATTTTTCAGGGTTTTTTTTACCCTTTTCTCGTTTTATTTTTTTAACTAAAATATAATATTCATAATATTGGACTTCTATTCTTCATAGTCTTTGACCCATTAAAATAAAGACAATGCATAGCTACTGCTGACCTGATTTTATATTTTTAATATAATTTATTGTTTGTAATTTCTTTGTTATTTCATGTTATTAATTGTAACTGATAGTAACTCAAGTTAACATGCTTGCAGGATGCCTTTGAGAATGCTCCAGAGCCTTTTTCACCCTTGGCTTCGTGTTTTGAATGCTTGAGCGGGGAATGTTTTGAAGGAGTAGCTGCCTAAACTAATTTGTATTCTGTTCATCAGAAATATAAATCTGTAAACACAAACGCAAATGAAATAATGTGACTTGTTAGTCTCAATACTTGGATGGGCACACTGAAATTCCCTCAAGCAGAATTATATTAGTCAAGAAACCTATCAATAAGATGTTTTCATGTAACAATGGCAAGAGACATACTATTCACTCTGCCCTAAAATTTTCATTCTGCAGCTAATTTAGCATTCCATAAAAAGAATGATAAACTTTGGAAAGTACAAACCTTTTTAAATACCATCAAAGAAAAATGCCTTATTTTGCCTTGATCGCAAAACATTTCTGTGGAACAGCAAATGACTCCACTCCTTTCACATACTATCGGTGTACTGAGAAGGGAAAAAAAAAAAAAAAAAGGCCAGTTCGAATCTTCTCCCATTTTGTGGATTTAGTGATATCAAAGTGTTGGGCGATGCATGTACGCTATTATTTTTTACGAAACAATCTTACGGGTGCTAAATTCCTCATGGAATATTGCATGCTAGATGTATCAGCATTTCGCAGATATGAAGAAAATTTAATAACTAACAGAGAGAGGCTAAGATTCCCTTCAAGTTCAGGTGAGGAAGAATTCCCTAAGAAAGCAGAGGAAAGTAATTTCTCAACCAGTAAAAAACACGAGTCTGGATGGTGTAAATCACTTACCAAGACTCATGGATACCAAAAATTCATCTAAGCATAGAATTCCAGGGTGCACATCAAGAACAAGAACATTATGTATCAAATGTAAAATGTATTTATGTGTGCTTAAAAAAAATTATTTTGAAAATTTTCATAAAAATAATGTAATGATAAAGATAAAATATTAGTTAAAGTTATTTAAAATTAATAAAACAATCATACATTTGGATGTTACTGTGAAATTATATTGTGTTCATGTTTTATTTCACATTTTAATCTAATGGTGGCTTTAAAAATTAAAATTTATAAGTGTTAAAATATGAGATTATTTACTTATTTGAATTCTAAGGTACACATATGTGTACCTAAATTTTTTGGTCCCCAAATATACATGTACCAAAAAAATCTCTTTTTTCCCATACAGAAAGCAAGCATATAAACTTCACGAATTATTTTTAAATTAAATATTTTAACTTCGGGTGTGAAGAGGGTATACATATGCACATATATATGTGTGTTATATGTATGCATAAATAATGAAACTCGACAATTTATAATAATTTTAATTCAGTACTAACCTTTTTCTTGTCTGAAAGTTCATTATATTCTTTTGCTAGCATTTTCATAACTTCCTGCTTTGATAATTCTGGATGCTTCTGCCGAGCAACAGCAAATTTCTCTTGTTGAAAATAAAACATGGCAGATAAGGGCTTTTTTGGTCGAGCACCATCAATGGCTTCCAGTTCAGTGATATCATTATTGATGGATTCAATAGTAATATGATTGGCTTTCTTCTTGTTGGAGGTCTTCATTTCACTTTCCAGTTTTTCTCGTTCTTTTTCAGGCAAATTACTTAAATATGCAGCATATTCTTCTTTATATTTAGCTATAGCCTAAAAATGAGCAAATTTAAAAAAAATCTATTAACTAATAGAATTTTTTAAAGAAATTAAATACTTATCTCACATAGGATAACAAAATTTAAAAAGATGGGTTTTTAAGGATTAAATATTGATTATTAACAATTTTGCAAGATATTCACCAGTACAAACATTTTAATGATTTCATGTAATTTTTATAATTCCTTATATTCATTATTTCAAAAGTTATTTTATTTTTATGATTAATATATAAGAAAAGATGAAATAATGCCAAGGTCAAAGTTCTTCATATAAGTAACATATGTGTTTTTCAATACAAAGATTGTCTTTGTACTAGTAGTAAAAAACTCAAGATGTCCTTGATCTTATTATCTCATAATCTGTTTAAGAAAAAATGCAGTGAAAGGCATGTTAAATTTACAGCGTAAAACATAAAAATGTTATAATATTCTAAAAAATTGTTCAAAACAATCATATGTCATTATTGCGAATATCTTCTTAGTTTTATTGCTATAGTTCCAGAAACAAAATTAATTACTTTTATAATGTTTATTACATTTTTAAATGATTCATGCAAGACAAAAAAAAAAAAAAAATTGAAAAGTGGAATTTAAACTCGCTAGATTACATGGACCAAATTTGTTTAAAGATCATATAAAAACATGTTCATGACAATGTAATAGATATGCCTATAAAGTAAATATACACCAAAGATAGGAATCAAATTTTATGTACGATGTTAAACTTAATTCCTGGCATTCCATGCATTGGTTTGTTGAAAAATTTGAAATGCAAAACTAAATTTGAACTTTTGTTATCTAACATTACATATATTATATTTTATGAATTAACCTGAAAGGAATTAATTCTAAATTTGCAATTAATGCATTAATTTATGCAAATGTTAAATTAAAAAAAAAATTATAGAATTATTAACTTTTAAAACAAACAAAATTTAACTTCATAGTAAGATAAGCTTTTTTTAAAAAGAAAATTACACAGTTTGAAGGATACTGACAAGGATCTCTTTTCTGCAATCAGAATTTTTTACATAAAAAAGTGATTCCATGGAGACAATTATGCAGCCTAGTTTTCTCTTCAATATTCTTTCAGGTTCCTTCAAAATTCACTTTTCTTGCTTGTAAAAGAGGGGTAAAAGTGTAAGAAAGTGTAAGGTGCCCCTAAAAATCTTATAAAGCTTAAAAAATTATTTATAAGGCAGAGCTTTAAGCTTAAGCTAGCTTTATAAGGCACAACCTTATAAAGCTTGACGAGTAGTAAGGACCTGAATAAAATTTAGTTATTTAACAGTTCTTTTTTTTTTTTTTTAATAACTTACACAGTAGCTTTCTTTCTCTCTCTTTTCTTGGCAATATTTATAAATTTCATGACTTTAGTTCATCTATACTCAGGGTTCATAGTCACATTTTAGTTAAAAAATAAGCACCTATAAGCACTTTTCAAGCATATTTTAAGAAAAAAAAATAAGAACCTGTCTAATTACATTATACACAACTGCATAACCTTAAAAGAAAAAAAAAATCTGATGTGTACACCACATGACTTCCTTGTACGGAATATTAAATTATATGCATTTTTTCATGCATTTCATTTAAACTTATTAGATTCAATTAACTCTACTTCAATAGTGCATAAACCACAATAGAATAAATGCATTTTTTAAAATTCCCTCTATTTGTTTACCATAACAACAATCTGGCGCTAGGCTCACTTAACAGTATTATATTTCGTTCATATTATAACTCAGAATGCACAAAATTTATATCATTTTAAGAATTATCTAATCGTTGCCACATGTTCTATTCAAATACTATAATAAGCTATAGAACGACGTATAAAGGAAATTAAGCAACAAAACAAAAAGAAAATGTTTTTCACAGACCAATGAGTATTTCGAATTCAATTAATTCCGTCTTAAAAATCAGTTAATTCAGTTAAATCTTAAACACTTTTTCCTCGAAAAAATTCCAGAAAGGATTAAGCTGATTTAATTTGCAATAATAAATGAAGGCACTATCTTTTGCTGTTGCGAAGATAAGTTTCTTTAGATTGGCAACAAAGCCACTATCTGCTGTTCAAAGTAACAAGAATGGCCGCCATCAAAAAATATTAGGCTAGCGGCACTTAAACAATTTTAAAATTGTTGATAATTCTAAAAATATTGCATACAGATTACTAAAGGATAAAAATCTTAACCTGAAAGATGATAACAACATAATTCAATCATTTTAAAGCAAAAAATGCACAATTGACAAACATAAGAGTAAAGAAACTATCACTGAGCAGGGTACAGAGTGATATATATATAAATAAATATATTATATATGTTTGGTGTGGTGGATTGCAACCAATACAAGGTGCACATCTACATGTTAGCAGTTCTATATAAAAAATTTCAACGTTCTGAGGCTACTCGTTTTTGAGTTATCGAGATACTACGTACATACGCCACGAAAAATCTCTTCAGATTCATTTAAAGCAGTTTTATAATTTTTTTGGAGCAAGAGCTTTTATCTGTTCTTAGTAGGATATCACGCAAAAACATCATAAACATATTAAAATAAACATATTAAAACATATTAAAATGCATTGGATGAAATCAAATTGGATATTTTCGTTGAAATATGCTGCCTGAAACTTTTCGCAATTATAATACTTCCTTGTATGAAGTAAAAAGGAAGTAATTAGACTTGTAATTTAAAATATGAGAAATGCAGTATTTATTAAGAGAGAATGAGCATTACCTCAACCATGGAAAACAGTTACTTTTTTTTTTTTTTTAATTTTAAATAACAGTTCAATTCACAGAACAGTTTACAATGAGAGAGGGGGAAAAAGAAAAAAAAAAAAAAACTATGCGGAACTAAACTATATTACAAGATTTAATGATGCAATTTCAGTTCAAAATAGAGAAAATAAATAAAAATAAGCCATATTTATTGTATTTGCTTGGCACCTAATAACAAATACAATTTATTTTACCACTCACATTAATATTTAAATAATTTAACTTAAATCAAAATTATGAACGTTTTCTAAATTTTCATTGTATATCAGTTTTCTCTTAACAGATATTGCAAGCAAAGTAATTTAAGTAAAAAAGAGGAACATTTCTGAAATCAGAAGACAGAAATTTGCTTCATGCAGTCATCCTTTAACAGTAAAAGCTTAAACCAGGCATACTTGGAAATTGGCGAATATTCGGACAGTTCGAGCGTAACTTGAAAAAGAGGCGGAGCGGGGGGGGGGGGATTGACTGTAGCCACTTTTTAGATTTTTCCGCTAAATAAATGCTTTTGACATTTGATATGTGAATCATATAAAAATAAACCAATGGAACTGAAAAATATTCTGCTTAGCAAGCACAGTAAAACTCTTTTAAGTGTTTATAAACAAATCTCAAACAGAACATCAAAATTAATTATCTCTGCGCAAATATCGCAAACGTTATGTGCAATACGTGTGCCGTAATTCTTCCCTACGTGATATTACGCAATCGGAATCAACAGCTGCCAGAAATTGGGAGAATAAAGAACTAAATAAAGAAAGAAACAGACTTAACTGGGGTGTTTTTCATTCTAATTTTCAACAGACGGCGTTAAATTTCCGCAATAGAATCATTCTTTTCGCTTGGGTTGGTAGACCACAGAACTTTAGTCCTATTCAATCCAGATTGGAAAGTGACCCAAAAAAAAAAAAAAAAAAGTCCGTTGCTTGTTTTGCAGCGAATTGTAACAGTTTCAAAAATTCGAGATTTTGCGGAGAAAGGGGAGAACCTCCCCAATCTTCGCATACTGTATAATGTATTGGCCAAAAAAAAAAAAATTTAAATTATTTTGACTATTCGATTACTTTCCCTTTATTTAAGTCATTCCGAATATTATTCCTTAGAAAGCTAATCCATGTTAAAACACACCCATTTTTGGAAGTTTATCTATACTTCAGCAGTTACTGAAACTATATTTTTATAAATATTCATGCATATGCTCATAATATAAGATGATCATAATAAACACGAATATGAGCTGACCACGCAGAACGAGAATGCAAATTATTAAAATCTTAATAGAAATTCAAACATATGTAGTATTTGGGTGGAAGGAAAAGAATACCGAATGTACCGGAATTTTCTACCACTTTCACAATTCTTTGACCAATAGTACAACGTGCACCTGTCTATACTCTCTCATGCACCAAAGGTTACATTAATGCAGAGAAAGGGGGAAAAGCTATTTCTGGGAGTATGATTCACCCTCTGACGTTCCAATATAAAGAAGAAAAGTTGTTTATTTAGTTTCGGCTTTGGTACGGGGAAAAATGCGCTTTCTTTAAAAAAAAGCACTAAAAGCAAAAAAATAAGGGCTTTAAAGAAAAAGTAAGCACCTATAAGGGCTTTTATATATTATTTTCAAATATAAGTACATATAAGCACTTGTAAGGACCGCTACGAACCCTGATACTGATACCCTGTAAATTTCAGGTTTCACAAAAATTTGCCAAAATAATCATGTCAAAAATGATACAATATATTATACTGAATGAATATTTAATCAAATATACATAAATGAAACAAAAAGTATGGGAAACAATATGTAACTATAATTTTCTGGTGATGTGTTGTTCACTTTATAATGATGTAGATGGAAAGTTTACTCCCATTACATACGCTTGACAGCTTCAGTATAGGTACACAATAATGAAGATATTGCATTTCTCCCTTTTAAGGTTGAAATGAATTATTCAGTTATTAAATACACACAAAGGTTATCTGTCTGCTAAGTTCCAATTTTAATCATAAGCTCCATCAGAATGGCATGTAACAGAATGCTCTTCATTTATCACTAACTAGTCAAGAGAACTGTTGGTTAAACAGATTTAAACATCTCCATTCCATAAAGCCATTACAAATAAAAATATCCACATCTGAAATTCAAACATTATCAAATACTATGGCAGTCACCCTCACTACAGTCCCGTTAGATGATAAATATATTTCACCTAGCACTATGTGAAAAAGATGTCTTTATATTCTTTTATGCAATTCTATACAGCCAGTGATCAAATGAGTAACACTATAATGATAGCTTTATCGAAATTTAAATCCTGTTGAATGAACATTAAAGTACTCAATTTTAAATGCTGCATGAGGCTCTTGTGGTTTTCCCCAATTATTAAATAAAAGCTACAGAGTTTTTCATGAACACGGCACTGCTTCCCTTAGGCAGGTAGCCCTTTTGTACTCTGCCTTAAATAAAATTACCACTGTATCATTTCAGAATTTAAAAATGAATAAAGAAAGAAAGAAAAGAAACGAAAAAAGAAAAAAGAAAGAAATTAAATTACACATATTTGTATTTAAGTCAATAATTCAATTATACTTGTAATTCCCAAATGAATATCTTATTGATAAAAAAGAATTTTATTTCATAAGAATTTGATGTAAATATTTTAAAAGTTATGAACAAATTTCAAATAATAATAAATTAGCAGGTTTACATAGCACAGGCAAAGTTCCATAAAGCAATCCTAATTATTTTACCAGACATCAACATCTAGTAAATATTACGATTTATAAAAAATCAGGTGTCAAGAAATGGTGGGAAAAAAAAAGAGTACTTACTAAGTGAAACAGTTTGCATATTTGGAAAATTAAAAACAATATTCTATAGTGTATTGGAAAAAAATAATAGACTTAGACAATATTAAATTTCTTAAAGTACATCTAAAGATCACGAACTTACAATCTGAGCTTGTTTATTTAAACTTTCTCTCTCCGTGTCAGATAATTGTTTCCACATTCTGGAAATTTCTCCCATTTTTGCTTTAGAAGGAAAATCTTTTAATTCTCTTAATTTGATGCGTGAAAATAAGCTGTAACCAGAGCTGTAAAATAAAATAATTTGGTTTAACAATTTTGACAAAATTAAAATAACAATAAATTTTTGTGTAGCTGAACAAATGCATACTTTCCAATACACTTAATAGCTGAAAGAATGCACATTTTCCAACACACTTAATAACTTACTGGTGGTTATTTCATAAGATATTTTAAATATGAAAACTGAAGAAAGTGTGGAATGTGGTTTTGCCCAGAAGGACTATTAATTTTGTTTTGGCATTTTGCGTTGAATCACTATAAACGGCGCATCGCTTTTCAAATTGTTGCCACCAAATGCTAGAACACTGCATTATATTTAAAGAAATTAAATAATGAAGAATTCGCATAAATGTATGCATATTTCTTGCATTGTGATAAAACAACAGTAGCTACAGCCAACAAATTTTGAATAACATGTTTCCACCTGAATATGAGCATCTGGAAGCCCAAATTTGGAATTTGTTTTATTATCTATTTCATATTTTATAAAGCTTTAATGAATTTTTGATTAACAAACTCAATGATTTCAAAGTGAGCAATGGCAACACTCTATGGGCAAAAAAAAAAAAAAAAAAAAAAAATTTTTTTTATCTCCAGCATGCGAGACTGTGTATCGGAAGTTCTCAAGATATGCTCCTTTTAAAATTATTTTGCAATATTGCTGTTGAACTGAATTTTATGGTTTAAGTGTGAATAACATGATATTTAATAAATAAAGGGGTAAGACACAAAACATATTTTTTTTAAAATGCCCCTTTGGGCATAATGTAAAATCTGAAAGCTGTCAGATTTTACTTCCCCCCCAAAGATGACATAATATAATGCATATATTTCATACAAGCTGCAATAATGGTTATGACCTCAAATACTCTTGTCTTCATAGTACATTTTCCAATCTAGATCAAATCAAGAACTATTTGATGATTAACAATCTTTTCCTTTAAAATTAGCCATGTTATTGAAAAAAAAAAAAAAAAAGTACATATATGGTAAAGCAGGAAACTTTGCACTAAACTATCAAACTAGTTATTTAAAAAAGGTAAAAACAGCAGGAAGTTATTTTATATTACCTGTAAATTTATATTAAGAATACAAAATATTTTGAAATGTTACTGAGTTTCCTTTTTACACTTGAAAATTTAGCTTTTATGTTATTTCAAAATAGAATTTCAGAAGAAAAAACTTTTGTTTCTTCTTAGAGAAACAACCTGTAATTTGTAAACTTGTAACAACTTGTAAAATTTGTTCAGCTGCCTGCTCTTTAATACGTATGTGAATAATATGTATTATATGTATATTCACATTCATAAGTTCACTGATTTACTTTTCATAAGCAAATATACTGTTTTTGTATATAAATTCAATGCTTATTTTTTAAACTCAGATTTGAATTAATATTCATTTTTCATTATAACTCTATTAATATATCTTTCACTACAAATTTTATGAATGACATGACTTTCAGTATTTAAAGATTGATTCAGATTAATTAAGCTAAGCAGTATGATCTGAAATACAGCATTATCAAATCTAAAATAGCTATTATTCATCAAAAATTCACATTTCATTAAGTTACAATCAGAGTCCATTGTGGCTTCTGGTAGAAGACCAACATAGCTAATGATTTCTTACTCTTTTCCTTAAAGAAAACCAAAATTTACAGTTTTCTTCCTGTTACTTTTATTTGCTCATTGAAATTATTTAAGCTGTGTAAATATAATTCAAACTATAGCAAATAAAAATACTAATATGAGAACAAAATTACTTACTTATTTTACCTGCAAGCAGCAAAAAACATGCTTTTGATGAACTATTTTTGTTTTTATTTTCTTTCTACATCTTTCCGAATTTATTAAAACCATAAACATAGCTCAGAAAATACTACAGTTTTTTTCTCATCTTTAGTTAAGCAGCAATGCCACCAACTGGTCATCACTGATTTACTATACAAAGCATACCAAGCAATGTAAGTATAATACATATGTTTCTTATTTCTGTTTGTACCCAAATAAATAAAACACTAGAAAAATACAGATTAATATAATTTAGTTAAAAGTTTTCATACTTTGGTGGTCGTTCAGGTTTGCCATCGCATCTATCTTTCAACTCTTTTTCTGCTTTGCTTAAAACTGCTTTTACTGGTTCAGGATGAAAATCAGGATGTTCACTGCGATACTTTTCCACTTCCATCTAAATCAGATTTAAACACTTTTACTTTCTAAAAAGATATAATTGAAACAATTTACACGAATTTCAAATACAATATATACCCCATAGCGCTGCTCATCTTGAACTGCTTTCCTTATCCACTTTACTTTCTTATTATCAGATAAATTGCTCCACATTTTTCTTAATTTTTCCATTGCCTCACGACGATCCATCTAGTGACCAAAAAATATCACGCAACTCAGTAATACATATCAACTATAGACAGAAAATATGAAAAGCATCATACATTCTGTCTATGGGTGCATACAACTAAAATATAAATTCAAACTGAAAATGGCAAAAAATATAAATGTATTCATATCCCAATTCAACTGATTTTCTTCAATTAAAATTTTTAAAATTAATATTCTTACACTAAACAAATTTTAATCAACAGGAAAGAGTTAAATAAAATATTGCACTCATAAGCTTTGCATCCAGAACTTTATGTATAATAAAAAAAGGAACAACTAGATTTTGGTATATTACTTTCAATCAAGTACTTATGTACATAATTTATTTGATCATTTTAAAAGAAACATCTTTCAAATGGTTTATAACCTTGTTGCACACCTTTATTAGCTACAACCTTGTACAACCTTGTTGTAGCTAATAAAGATGAGATAATTTTAAAAACACAGCATTGTACTGTTACATTGAAGAGGACAGAAAACATATAACTTAATTAATATCTTTGAAAAATTTATGGCTACACCATAAATTTCTTAATTGAGGATGCCTGCAAGTAAGCAATAAAGTTAAATAATTTGATTAAAAAATAAATGATAGAAAACAACATGAAATTGCATCATTTATACTAAACATATTAAAAAAGAAAAACTAAACTAAACTTCTCAAATCTTGAAAAACTCCGACTTTGTACAAATGTGGTTCATAATTAAATGCTTCAGTTTGGATTACGGCAATGTTAAGCTGGTTTATTAATTATGGCAAAAAGCTTTTGATATTTATCCAGCTTCAAGAATATATAAAAGAAAATGGCTTGTAAATACAATATGCAAGAAAACACCAGGTAGCCAACACAATCAGCCAAACACAGGGCATGCTCCCTGGTCTTCAGTTACTGACGGAATAAATATGATTGGAAAAAAAAAAACAAAAAACTTTCTACTCATGAAGTAATTTATTTTAAAAAATAAATCAGTTAACAGAAACAGACTTTAGGAATTCTTACATTGTGAAGCAGAACAACTTAAAAACTGTTAACATTTCAGACTAGCATATAATGAAAATCTATCAGTTTCAATATGCACATTTGATAAATTGATTTACAAAACAGAATTTAACTAAGACTTTAATTCTTTGGAATGTTAGTAATTATTTGAAATCATTTATAATGGTTGTAATTTCAGTTATAAAATACTGGTTTTAATTTCATTATATTTAAAAATTACTATGCTTGCTCTTAATATTTTTTTAATTAAACTAAAACAGCTTTGTGAAGAATTAACACAATAAGTACATTTCTATGGTACATGATTGGAAAAAGAAGTGGGACACCAAACTTTACAAAAAAATTTTTAAGTATACTCCCTACTGTGCTAATTGCACAGTAAGAACTATACTCGTCCCAACCCAGTTTTAACTGAAAAAAATCCTCGGGTCTCTTTCTCCAGGATCTGAATCTGAGTCAAGGAATGCAGCAGCCAGCATCTCTAACCACTATGCACAGAAGATTGGATATTTTCATTATACATAAAAACCAAGAACAAGTACAGTTCCATTGTACAGGATAATCAGTCACAAGCATACCTTTTACAAATGTAAAATGAACAATTCTGTTTTATATGCACATCATTAGTGCTTTTTTTAACCCTGCAATGGAGGGGCCGGCATACAGAGTACACCAATGCCATCTTTTGGGCTGTAATTTTTACACAACTCCTTCCTGAGTTTCCTCCCTTCCTCTACCGTCCTAGAAATTCCTCATTCCATGAGTGCAATGCACCTGGTATTTCTGGTCAGTCTGGTTTTTGCCTTCCTTCTGAAAGCAGTTATTGTGAACATGTCGCGTAGGCGAACGCAGTACGCCGCTCCTCCAAGTATGTACCTCCTGAAGATTATTTGCGCGTTTTAGAAGAAGTCTCGGTTGATGAAGACTCCGACAATTTGAATAACGCATCTGATGTTGATGAACCAGAAGCATTGAACATTCTGATCATAAAAGTGACTCAGAAATTGAGAGAAATGTTTCTAAACATCCTCATTTTCCTTCCTGAAATGATGTTTCCCGAACAAATGACGATTTTAGTGATGTTGGAAATGACATAAGAGATTTAAAATATGAGGACTTTTTTGATAAACAATTTTAAAAAAGAAGGAAGTTGGAGGAAAGTTTCTGAAAGAAGAAAAGGAAACATATAAATGGAATAAAGTTTCATTTAAGAGTAAATTCTCCAGAACGCCTCGAAAAAATTTGAAAAAAAATATGCCCATGAAAGTGACGAAAATATTCTGCTTTCCAGAAAATCATAAATAAAAATATGATTGATGCTATCATACAATGTGCAAATATTTACCTCAAATGTAACAGGACTGCAGATGATCTCTAAAACATCTCAAAGACAAGCATGTATGATACTAATAGAGTGGCCTGTTAAATATTGGCCTGTTTAGGGATTTTATTCTTATTAGAGTGCAAAAAAATGTCAAAATTCAATTTGAAGGAAGCATGGGCAAAAGACGGTACTGGAATTGAAATTTTGAAGGAGTCATGGGTCTCAAGCAATTCAGAAACCTGTGTGCTGCTATTAGATTCAATGATAAAGGCACAAGGTATGCGCGAAGAAAAACTGATAAGCTTGCTGCACTAAGAGAATTTTTTTAATCTTTCAATCAGAACTGTCAAAACTTTTATACACCAGGTGACGAACTCACAATCGACGAGAAGTTGAAACCCTTTCGCGCGAGGTGCTCTTTTATTCAATTCATCCCCAACAAGCCCGCAAAGTATGGTCTGAAAATTTTTGCAGTTGTTGTGACTCATGAACGTTTTATACATTGAAGCTTGAAATTTACTGTGGCAATCAAACCCCAGGACCTTAAGAGGCTTCTAATTCAAGTATTGACATTGTCGAAAGGCTAATTGGTGCGTACGAAGGTTCCAACCGTAACCTGACGACCGATAATTGGTATACAAGCTACCCACTAGCTCAATATCTTCTTACCAAAGGTATAACACTTGTGGGCACGCTGAAAAAAAAATAAAAAGGAAATTCCAAATAAATTCCAGCCATAAAAAACCAGAGAAGTCGGCAGTTCACTGTTTAGTGCCCACAAGTGTTATACCTTGGTAAGAAGATATTGAGCTGTAGGGTATACAATTATCGGTCGTCAGGTTACGGTTGGAATCTTCGTACGCACCAATTAGCCTTTCGACAATGTCAATACTTGAATTAGAAGCCTCTTAAGGCTGGAATTCTCTGGTTTTTTATGGCTGGTTTTCAAAAGGATATGACAATTGTTTCATATTCAATGAAAAAAAATAAGTGTGTAATACAGCTCAGTACTTTACACGATGATGGCAAAATTGACCAGGAAAAGAATAAACCTCAAATAATCCTTGATTATAACAAATGTAAAGGCGGAGTTGATACTGTAGACTAACTTTGTAGTAATTTCACTGTCACCCGAAAAACCAAGAGGTGGACAATGGCAATATTTTTTGCACTGCTAAATGTAGCGGGCATAAATTCGCAAGAGCTCTTGAACTTCTCCAAACCTGATGCAATTATCAAGTTTAGAAGATATTTTTGAAAAATCTACTACATCTTTGTTGAAAACCACATCTTCAATCGTCTGAAAATGCCATTTCTCCTGTGCATTCAAAGCTATTACTAGAAGGCTGGTAACAACAGAAGCGGACAAGACGGCGAAAGGGACGAGGAACCACTTGCAAAAAAATCAAAGGACGCTGTCTGAGTGCGGTAGAATGAAGAATAATACACTACCATAAATGTTCTGAGTGTTTTAAGTTTACCTGCAAAATCATTGGCAAGACAGTACACTTTCAAACCCTGCTGCAGTGAACAGGGACCATCGGAAGGGTTAAAATCGCAAAAGGTTTTCAAATTTCTCATTTGTGAAATTTATACATTACCGAACTTTTCTTTACGGAATATTTTATAATTGTAATTTTGATTTATGTTCTATAATTTTCATACAGAAAATAAGCAGATACTATTTAACTTCAAAGTATATTTCCTGTGCATCCACTTTTTGAATTAATTCAAATCGTAGTTCATCTTTACTTCCTTTTTTTTTTTTTTTTTTTTCCTGTTATTCTTTTTCTTATATCATTTTTACTATGACGAATCACCTTATTAATGCCATGTATAAGATTAAAGTTTCAAACACGAAGCAGAGGCTCGAAAAATGACCTGGCGTACTTCATGTGCCACCCCTCTAAGATTGTACCATACGCCAGCCCCTCCAACTGAGGGTGCTATATTTTTTAGCTACATTTTCATGAAAACAATTTGAGACAAATTAACTATTCAATATCAGCTTGTTTTTCTTTATTACATGAATAAGTTCTTTAAGTTATAGTTTATTATAGTTATTAGAAGATTAATTTCTAAGTTTCTTAAACTCTTAAGCAAGATATTTAATACTTTTGTAGCACTGATTGTCCACAATAAACTTGTACAATATTTTTTTTAATCCATGTTTCACTCTGCAATAAAATTCCCATAAAAGCAATTAAATTTTTTTTGTTTTATTTTGTTCAGAATTCATGAATCAGCTTAAATACTATTATTGTCGAAATTCAATACCACTCTCTATTTTGGCTCAAAAGCTTGCATATTTCTGCATGCGCAATAAACTAGCACTAAGTCTCTGCTCTGGCTCAGAGTTTGGTGTAAAGCTGGAACTATTTCATCTTTTTCTCATATTTTTTGGCAAAGCACGATACTTCTGATGCAGTTTACGGTAACTGCTACAGAAACAATACAAATAACTATCAACTTATATCATCTAAATTTACCACCACTGTCAAATATATGTGAAAAGCCAGTGCTTTTATGCAATACACACGTTGTTACGTGTAATTACATTTGTAGTAAAAAGTCATGAAACTAAAGAATTACCTGACAAAATTCTGGCTTCTTTAATCGATCACTAACAAAAATATTAAATGCTGTATGTGGTTTATCTGGTCCTTCTGAGGCAGCAGCATGTTGCCTCATTTCAGGGGAAGGAAACTGCTCTGGGTGGCATTTCCTATAGTAACAAAACAAATAAATAAAAGTAAATAAAATTATCTGCTTTATAGGGTAAATAAATATTTTAAACTCTGATTTATTGAAGTTTTCATTTTCAAACATAATTTCATCAAACTGTCCAGACATAATTTCTACATAATCATAATTCATCAAACTTCACATCAGACATCAAACATAATTTCATCAAACTTTACAAAAAAACTGCCCAGGCACACACACATACTATATCATAATTAAATATAAATACTTATACTCAGTTATGCAAATTCGTAATTTAAGAGGGAAAGAAACTCATACTTAAATCATTATATAAATAACAACATGCCTAATTAATTTTATAGCAAATATGGATAACAAAAAAATTAATTACTTTAAAAACCACAATAATTGTAATATCTTGCATATCCCTTTAACATATTGTCTAACTATGAATCAAATAACATCATACCATACCCCCAAAGAAGAGGAAAACACACAGAAGCCATTTATTCTATATTTTTAAACCTGTGCATTATGTTTATGAATTTATTACTTCAAATCTCAAGCATTATGTAACAATCACACTATTAGAAATTTATGTGAGCACACAGTGATGTTATATAGTTATAGAATAGATAATATAATATTCCTGTAATTCAACCAGCAAGATATTCAGTGCTTATCAGTTATTACTAGATCACACACTCTTAGTAATATTCTTTTGGCATCAACCAAAACATCAGAAGTACCAAAAAATTAATGCAGCTGCACAGGTTGGGAAAGCCATGCTGGAACCAAGTTCAAAGTTCCAACCAGTATTCAAGGTCAATTTCATGCTCTTTTATTGTGTTATGCTTCAGTATGTGAAGAGGACTTTAAGGATTTTTTTTTTCCCCCCTGTAAATAAAACTTAAATAAGAAAGTTGACTCAGCCTGTTCTTAGACAATTTATCGCCATAACACATTTACACTCTCTTAAGGCGATTAATGATCTAATCTGTAATACTTTGGCTTAGCCTGTACTCTTCTGCAAATATCAGATTCCCAGCTGCCAGTTCTTTGAGCAAAACAAAGTTTAAAAAAACATTATCCACACAGAAAATATTACAATCAAACTTACTTAAATTTTTCCAGTTCCAGCTTATATATTTCATTTTCTTTTTCATAAGCTTCTTTATATTTTTGCTGAAAACAAAATTAATGATAAATTAAAAGATGTTAAATAAATGTTAGATTATAATTAATAAAAATCAACAAAATTTTAGTAAAGTTATTAGGGCAAATACAGTACAAAAATTATTATAATAATGCATTGTGCTTTACTTAATATCACATAATAATATTTAGGAAGATATCATTAAAAATTTCATTTTAGCCCTTTGATGGTCACGAAAAAGCTCAGCTCACATTCCAGTTATGTACTGCAGTGGGCAGAAATGAACAGCGCTCGCATTACAAATTTATGATAGCTTATGAACTCAGCTTGCATTCCAACAGTGCATTTCAATGAATGCAAATGAACACAGATTGCATTACACATTTACGACATACACATCTGGAAAGAAAGAATTGATTCATCTCACAAACACTGAAGGGTTTAATGCAATTAAAAATTATAGCCATCACTTCGTGGAGAATGTTTGGAAAATAAATTTTAGCCTACTATTTAATTCACTCAGAACAAATAAGCTGCCTTGCTATTGAACAAATATAACACTTGCCTTGCATTTAGATTAGTAAACATTAACCATTAAATAAATTAATTTAGGTTAAAATAACATGCTGAATAATGGTTGTTTGGAGAAGTATTGTTTGACTTCTCCAATAATCGTAAATAGATTACTTGATTTTTTTCTAAACAAGTACAGAAAGATTTAAAAAACATTTTTTTTTTCATTTCAAAATATATTAATACATATTATACATTATGGAATATGTTTTAATCAATCAATCTATAATAAATTCTTAATTATAAAAACAAACCTTCTTTTTATCAGGCAGCTGCTGAAATTTTTTTGACAGAAGTTTCGCAAGATCTGTCATAGACATTTCAGGATTATCTTTGCTGTATTTTTCTCTTTTTTCCAGAAAATATCGAAAATATGGTGTTAATGGCTTTTTGGGCATCTCTGGGTGTTTCTAAATAAGACAAACACATATAGCATTATACAATAATGTAAATAATGTACATATTTATGATACATGTTATTATGGAAAATTTCACCTAAATTACAATAAGCAGGAAAAAACTAAATTAGATTAGAACATGTGGTTATGGATTTGGTGATAACATTTGACGATATTTTTGCAATATTACTAAACTCGCAAATTTCCAAAGGTTTCTAAATTTGACCAAGTCCTAAAATGTTTTTAAAAAGGATTATTTTTTATATTCTGAGAGATTATAATACTATGCTTGCTTTCCAGCATAATTTGTTATTAAAAAAAAGGTCAAACTTTTTATCAAAGATTAAAAAAAAAAAAAAAAAAAAAACTTAAGCAAAACAAATTTACTTTATCTTGCAATTTAATACAATGAATAAATCTTTCTCGTGTTTTCGCACCTCTGAAAGGAAGGGAAGAAATCTCCCATTTTTCCTTAGATGAAAATAGCAAGGCAGAACTTAGGTAGATGATCATTACAATTAATATTGCAAATTTTCTTGACTTAGTCTAAAAACCAATTCAGAGCAATCTATTGTGAACTACAGAACAATTTTTTGCAGAGGTCTGCTTTTGCACAAGTGAAGATAATTCCAAAAGTCAAATGAGAAGAATTTTCATGTCTATCTGCCAACAGAGACAGTAACAGTGTTAAAAATAGAAGTACACTATGCAACAATGAAAATGCAATACCATGAGTGCATATTTAAAAAAAATGCAAATTTCAGTGCAGATGTAGGGCAACAAGTCATGCAAATTATGTGAAATATGTTCCATTCTCACATAGGTGAAGTGAAAAATAAAGGAAGGAAACTGCAGAATCGACAGTAGTTGCACACTCTGTTAGGCAGAATAATAGTTTTGCAAATTTTTTTTCTATTGCAGAGAAAATGCTAGTACATGGTGATCAGACTCAGAAGAGCAGGTTGGTCCCTGCACCGAATTGCAGCTGACAGGCTCACTACATGCATTTAGAAGGGAAACTGTGGTGAAGATCATTGGAAGAAGGGAATGTGGTATGTTTTGGGGTGATGGTACTCTCAGGACTTCAGAATTGCATGGGTCAATGCATCTGCAGGCATGCGGTAGTGAATTAGCAGGCCACTTTCACTGACATTCTGCAGCAGGTGAAGGATACTCTTAATGATCTCATATCGACCAGGACAAGAGTAGTCTACATGCATGACATTCATTAAGAAAGCTCCCATGAGCCAACAGCACAGGCACCTCCAATCAGGATGGTGACAGGTTAGAGCTATGTAGGCTTCAACAACATGTACGAGTCCAGTGGCAACATTGTCCAATCTGGCTACAACTGTGCAAAAACAAACTGTCATAGTTTGGGATGCCATCGCCTATGACAACAAATCACCACTAGTCTGCTTGGCTGGCAATATAATGGCCCAACAATGGATGATGTGCTCCATCTGATAACATTACCCTTCATTCAGGGAATGTCAAAAGCTGTTTACCAGCAGGGTAATGGCCAGAATATGTGTGCATCAGCCAACATGTCCTCCAAAGTACCCCGGTACTTTTTTGGCCCTTTGTCTCCCTGGATCTCTCATCCACCGAATACACCTGGGATGTCACTGGATGCCGCTTACGTGCGTTACCAGCATTGTGCTCAGAAGATGAATTGTGGCAAATGCTTAACAGGGAATGGACATTATCACACAGAAAACAAAAAACAATCCGCACTCTGTATGTGTGTACCTAGACGTGTTGCTGCCTGTATCACTGTCAACACTGCTCTACAACTTACTGAGCATACTGTATAATTTTTTTTATACCTATATCATGTTGTAATAAATATCATTTACTGTTCATTTTGGAGTCTCTCTTTAGCCAATTCTCATCACTTTGTGTATGGGCTTTCATGGACTAGAATTTTCACTGTCACACAATGTATATTCACAACTTCCAATTAAAATTCAACTCAATTCAAAGAGAAAACACCTGGTATCCAAAAAAGTTCAAACTGCAGTTTTCAGCAAGAAATAACGACCCAGTAATTTTACGCTAATGCATTTTATTCAGAAAAATAATCTCTTTCAGCTTCAGTTACATGTTCCCAATGAGTCACAAGCAAACACAGGTTTTCCTGTGTTTGCAAAGATTCTTGCTCTTACAGCCAAAACATTATCTTATGGCCTGTGTGACATCATCTTGATTTCAGAGCTGTTGCTCATCCAAATATTTATCCAAGGGCAAAACAGATGACACTTAAATAAGCAATGTTCAGGGAGTAAGAAGAAAGAGATAAAACTTCATAACCAAGTATATTGATTATCTCCTTGGTTACTTTCATCGAATGAGGTCTGGTGTTGTCTTGGAGAATGATCACTCTTTTGCGGTAGACTAGACTGCAGTCCTTTACAACTAGGATGATTTTTCCACTCTTTAGCAATTCTGGGTGCACAACACCAGTGCTGTTTCACCAAACACAAAGCAGTACTTTCCATTGATGAATGTTTTGTTTGGGAGCAAATGTTATATATTGATGATAACCAATGATGTTTTCATTTGCAATTACTGTATAACATCCCTTTTTCATTACATGTCAGTATCTGGTGTAGGGAAGGGCTTTCTTGTGATATAACAGCAATGAAGAAAAATGGTGAGCCACTGGCGTTTGGACTCATTGGTCAAAATGTGAGGAATTGAGCTCAGATGTCTTCCCAAATGATGCAATTGAATGGTTTTCTCCAAGACTCCAAATGTTTGTGAAATTTCCTTGCCCATTTTATGCGGATTATGCTTGATGTCCTCCTTTAGCACTGCTCTGCTAGCTATGGATTTGAGGCTTGTCCTCAAGGCTCCGATCTCCCAATGCAAATTCACTCAACTACTTTCACACTGTGTGCTCACTCACTGATGCCTCTCCAGATGCAGAGCATATTTTTTTAGCAGTTCACTACAGCATTGCTGCCCAGCTTGAACTCAAATAAACATGACCATAAATATCCTTTGACATTGATATGTTGTTCACTTCAGTATTGTAGTTCCTACAAAAGTGCTTTCAACATAACCAACACCCCTAAATTTTTTCTGCTAAAATCCCAATGCTCAATTCTAGGCTTTACATTTCTCAACTTGTTTTGAAGCTGAACATCCCAAAGTTGCTGCCAATTTTTTTTCGGATCTTCTCTTTGACAACACAGCAGATGTCTCTAAAAGGGATGAGACGACTGGACAGTTCAACAGCACATTTCACTGTGATATCTGCCAGCTCATTCCCCTTTATTCTGCATGCCCAGGAACCTAGCAAAACAGGATTTCATGCCCTCAACTTTTTAAGTTTATATGAATCTTGAGAACATCCACTATTACTGAATTTTGAGTGTTGGGAAAAGCTTCTAATGATTTAAGTGCACTATAGGAGTCTGTATAAACTATGAACTTTTTGTGGCAGAGCTTTGAGATGTAAAAAAGACTATAATATATTGCAGTTAGTTCAGATGTTAAGACAGAGAAAGCATGGTGCAAGCGTCTGCCCTCCATGTGATCTTCAATTACAAATGCCATCCCGACATGATCATTTGACTTGGATCCATCTGTATATACTGGAAGATAACTGCTATATTTATGCCTGTGCTCAGCAAATAGTTGTCTGTAAACGATGTCGTTAGTGCTTGCCTTCACGTGATGGTTGAAAACATTAAGAAGCTGGATCCATGCATTTTCCCAAGGGTGAGATTTCTGAATTCTGCACTGCTTGGGACACATATCAGAGAAGGAGAGTTCCTTAAATGGAGCAATTGAATGGTTTTCTCCAAGACTCCGAATGAACTCTTAAAGGAAAGGTAGGCACGCAGGATGGACGTGTTTCAAATAAAGTGCTACACACATTATCAAGAAAGCACAGCCTATTAGGATGTTCAGGTTGCGGTAAAATATTAAAAATACTGCAAAAGGAAACAATTGCTCATGCCTCAGATAAAGTGATGGATTCATTAGAGTCAACATACAGGCTCTGGACAGGAGAAGTCCTGAAAGCTCCTGAACAAATCCGCAGACCTTGATGGTGAACAGGATCTAGTTTTAACAATACTGATGACCGAGCGGAATCCATAAACAACTGAGCCATAGTCCAGTCTAGAATGAACAATTGCTCTGTAAATGCGGAGCATAGTGCAACGCTCTGCACCCCAGGAGGTGTTCGCCAAGACTTTTAAAATATTTAGTGTTTTAAACACTTCTTTCTCAGGTTTAAAACATGAGAAAGGAAAGTCAATTTTCGGTCGAACGTCACTCCTAAAAATTTTACTTCAGGCGCAACTGGAATAATTGTACCATTCAGATATAACTCAGGATGGAGACCTCGCTTCCTACAAAAGTGCACGCACAAAGTTTTCTGTTTCGAAAATGTAAATCCCTGTTTGTCTGACCATTCTTGGATCTTATTCAGAGCCATCTGCAATTGCCTCTCTACATATCTCATGTCTGCCCCTCGACAGCTAATCTGTAAATCATCAACATATAGAGATCCCAAGATGGTTGGAAAAAGTTCATTTAATACAAAAGTTTTTTTTTTTTTTCCCAACTGAACAGGGTTACACTAAGCACACAGCCTTGAGGCACACCCTCTTCCTGTTCAAAAACATTCAACAAAACAGAGCCAATCCTTACTGGAAAAGTTCTAGGGTTCAAGAAATTCTGAATAAAAATTGGTAGGTTGCCGTGCAAGCTACTATCTTGATGATCCCGAGGTATACCGCATCTCCATACCTTATCATAAGCTTTCTCAATGTCAAAGAATCTGAGACAAGGTGATTTCTTCTTACAAAAGCTTTTCAAAACAATGTCTCTTAAAAGGAGCATGTTATCTACGGTTATGGTTTCCCTTTTCGAAAACCGCTTTGATAAGGTGATATAATAGTATTCTTTTCCAAGAAGGCAGTTTACCATTTTTTCAAACAGCTTGCATATGCAACTCGTAAGGGCAATTGGCCGATAGTTGGAGGGATTGCTTG